GGTTTTGCACAGTGATACACAGAACCGTTGGGTGAAGCGGTCATAGCTGTTTTATTGTGAATAAAACAGCTGTTGGCCAATCAGAATCGAGGACTAGAAATTGTTTTGTGATGATTTTTTAATATATTATTATATACTTTATGATTGTGCATATTTTTTCAGTGAGTTCATGGTAATTCTTTAAAACATTTACTGTCTTGGCTCAACACTTGACTATTTAATGCTATTCCACATTAATGTCATGTCTTTGAATTATCTTCATTTTGTGGATTTTCTCAGAAAATATTTATATATATGTAAAATATTTATAGATTTTTTTTTTTGATTTATAGATTTTTAATCAATTAGTAATAAAGTAGAAGCCCCATCTTGCGTCTTACATACCATAATTGTTATACTCATCTTTAATGCATTAACACATTTCTGTTTGCAGCCTCTCAAAATCACTTGTGACATCCAGCAGCTTTGACTGCAATCACTTAAAAGAGCCCTCATCAATGACAGCCCTTCTATATCCCACAACCACTCTCCACTTTTGTTCCCAGGGACATTTAATCACTTTGAGGAAATGAAGGGCTAATGAATATCACACTCTAAACAAGAAAAAGGAAGTTCAATCTATAGATAATGATTGTGACTTCTCAAGCTGCTTGTGGAGTTCTAAAAGTCTTCCTGTGACTCACAGCTTATTTCAACTAGATGAGGTCTTTATTTCCCATCATCCTCCAAGGACAAGTGGATGGCAAGGGGTCAAAATCCATCATCATCCCTTTAATTATTGCTCATTCTTTGGGTTACAGATTTCACCAAACACCAAAGTATTAAACTTTGACACGCAACTCATCCCGCACCATTTGTACTACAGACATGAATGATACCTCAAATCCTACAGCTTAGAGAGAAAGAGGTGTGCTTTTCTAAGCGACTAGTGGATATTCGTCTCCTTGAAGATAAAATGGGCAAATTGTATGTGTGTGTGTGTATATTTTTTTTATTTTATTTTTTTGCCTAATTTTCTCATTCCAAAAATTATTATAACCAATCATTTGGAACCAAAATCAGGGATAATTAAAGCAAAACTGGCCCAGAAATTTAAAGTTGTGATGAAATGGAAGTAGCAACAGATCTTTTCTTCCATATTGTAACATACAGTATCTCACAGAAGTGAGTACACCCCTCACATTTTTGTAAAGACAAGAATGGGACAACATTCCTATTCCTAAACTTGAGCAACTTGTCTCCTCAGTCCCCAGACGTTTGCAGACTGTTATAAAAAGAAGAGGGGATGGTAAACATGGCCTTGTCCCAACTTTTTTGAGATGTGTTGATGCCATGAAATTTAAAATCAACTTATTTTTCCCTTAAAATGATACATTTTCTCAATTTAAACATTTGATATGTCGTCTATGTTGTATTCTGAATAAAATATTGAAATTTGAAACTTCCACATCATTGCATTCTGTTTTTATTCACAATTTGTACAGTGTCCCAACTTTTTTGGAATCGGGTTTGTATGTATATATATACTGTATATTACTCTAAAGTTCAACTAATTGCATTTAATATACATTTAATCTATAATACATTTTCATTTAATTGCAACTATGCAAATTAAGTCGGAAAACATTACATTCAGTTTACACAAGAATATTATTTGAAAGTATCATATTATTTTATGTTATATTATATTATTTATATATCATAATATATAGTTAGTCCTTTTTATGTGTTTTTTAATACTTTAAGCATGCTGAAGAGTACGTCTTGTAGCACTTGTTTTATTTTGTACAGGAAGCACTTCTTTAGCAAATAGTGTTCCAGGTGACATGCTTGTCATCTGTTGATTACAATGCTCCCATATGAGATGCAAAACCACTTCTGTAAGTCACACTGGATAAAAGCATCTTCTAAAAGCCTTAAATGTAAGTATACATCCATCTGTTGAATGTGGAGCCAACATGTGTCCTTCAGCACTGCAGCCGCTAAAGGTCATGCAGGAGGACTCAAGCCTGGAGACAGCTTAATTGGAAATCAAACACAGACCGTGAGAAACGGAGAAATAAAAAAGAAGGAAACAGATGTTAAAGGAGGGAAATGGGACATGAGTCAAAGAAATAGACAGGTATAAGGAAAAAGCACAGAGTGAAAACTCTCAAGACCAATATTGATTTACGCTGAAAAGAAAAATAAGGCCAATGATGGGTGTAGTGGCGAGAGAGAGAGAGTGATAAATAAAAGATTAAATGTCCTGACATTGGGTTGGAAAGAAATCAGTGGAAATAATAATGTTACAATGCACATTTTCATTAGTCCGGGGAGAGACTGAAGGCAGTCCGCGTGTCTAATGTATCAGTCAAAGCGAGCAGGTCTGTGCTTACTCGCTTATTTGTTTTATGAATATAATTTGCGGCACACTTCAGGGCAGAGTATATCACAGGGAAGGTTTTGGGTTTTCGATCTGACATACTGTCTCCTTATAAGCCAATGCAATGTAAATAAATAATCATGCATCCTGTTTTAACATTCAGGGCTGGATTATGGTCAATACAGTTGACCTTGAACTGTCAGGGGCCTCCAAAGCTGGCCTGTAGCGATCTGTATGTGCATTTGTAGTGTACTTCAAATCTTAAAAGTATATAACCATATTTCAAAGACAACAGTAAGTAATTATGAAATTACATATAAAGCTGTACTTAAGTCCTGCTTCAGTGTGTCAAAAAAGCACACTTAGTTTCAACTAACTGCATTTAGTATAAATTATAAACTATAATACATTTTTTAATTAATTGCAATTAACAGACAATTAAAGGAATAGTTCTCCCAAACATGAAAATTTGGTGGAAAATGCATTCCCCCTTAGACCATCCAAGATATAGATGAGCGGAAAGGATTTGAAGAAATTTAGCATCACATCACTTGCTCACCAATGGATCCTCTGCAGGGAATGGGTGCCGTCAGAATGAGAGTCTAAACAACTGATAAAAACATTCACTCCAGTCTATCAATGAATTTCTTGCGAAAAGCTGTGTGTTTGTAAGAAACAGTTCTATCTTTAAGGCATTTTAATTTTAAACCGTTTTTAGCATCAAATGTAGCATTGCAAGTGATGTAATTCTAAATTTCTCCAAATCTCTTCTGATGATGAAACAAACTCATCTACTTCTTGGAAACCCTGAAGATCAGTACATTTTTAGCAGATGTTCATTTTTTGGTGAACTGTACCTTTAAGTGTCCAAAAACATTACATTCAATTTGCACTTCCATTTGTACAGTCCGTTTTAAAGTATAGGGCTGAATTATGGATTGGCACAGTGAGCTTCAGACTGTCAGGGACACCAAAGGCCCTTGGGACATTTATCAGACTGAGTCCTTTGCCCTTTGCTTCATAGAGTGCAAAGGACCCCTTACAGCATGAGGGCCCACAGGTTTCTCTGCACGCACAGTGCAATGTAAAAACATATATATTCAGGGGCCTCTCGCGATATGATCAGGCCCTGTTAATCTCCGATTGAGCAATGAATTTAATGTGCTCCCTCATTTTTGGTCTATATTGTTAAAAGACCATTTTCTTTCTTTAATCATTCCGCTTCATTGTCATTTAATTTGTTTTTAATTGTGAACAAGCCATCACTGACTGATGAATCATTCCATTAGTTTCCCTTCAGTCTGTCCTTTGGGACCCATGTTTTACTCCCTAATTGAGGTGGAGAAATGTACTGCAGACATCTCACCTCATCCCAGCACACAAGTGAACCGAGACTGCTTAAAACCCAATCGATATTTCCTTCTTGAAACTTTCTTTCCTCATCTTTTTTTTTTTTTGTATAAAGAAGTCACACACATATAGAGAGGTTTTGCTACTGGTGCTTTTTTGGAGGAAAAATAAATGATAGTCTACTCTACATAAGATATCTCATCCAGACTATTATTATACTGAAGAAACCATGTAGCCCCTCACTGCAGAACAAAGATCCAGGGGGCAGGGTTGGATCCACATCTAGGGGGTGGAGATGGTAGGGTTAGGGGTGGAGATGGGGGTGTTTAGGGCTCAGGGGGGGGAGACGGGTAGGGTTAGGTATATGTAAGGTGGGAGGAGTTGGATCTGGATCCAGCCTCGCCCCCTGGATCTTGTGTTCTGCAGTGAGGACCATCTCGAAGAAACTGTGTAATTCCTTAGTGAATCCACCTTAATTTTTCTTCATTTATTTCACATGGAAATACTTTCATAAGATATTCCTTTAAGGAGACTATTATTACCGAAGTGGGGTTGTCTGGATGAAATCTGTATTGAAAAATAGGATGTTTGTACCCAGTGACACTTCAGTGATTGTTATTCAACATACTGCTTTAGCTTGTTAGTGTAACTACTGATGCCATATTAACATGCTTATCTGATTAATTAACATGCTATGGTCTAGATATGGATAGGAAAATATTTACAGATGCTCCATTCCCATGATACCCTGCAAGAAATTATATCTTTGTTGACTGCATAATCTGCAATCCTTGATCTCTGTAATGGTATGTTATAATAGAGCATATTTAACATGAAGATGTGGTGTGGTGAATTAAAAGTGCATTTATATTTGTGTTTAGTAAACACAGGGGAGTGTTTAGAGTAGAAACCTTGAAATGCCTTCTGGACTGATGTGATGATTGTAGCTTCGAGCTTTTCTCAGCATCAGTGCATATTTCAGAATCTGCTGAATCCTATACATACTAGGAATTTAAATTCACTTTGCTGGGGGAAAAAAACATCCACGCTGCTCACTGACACATGAACTAAAATTAGATTTTGTTGGAATAGTTTTCTTACGTGCCATAAACTTATAATTGTCTTGCAGATTACATTTTATGAATGTTTCCCAACTCATTGTCCTAAACAGGAATCAGATGTGTGTGTGTGTGTGTGTGTGTGTGTGTGTAGTCGCTCCAGTGCTCGAGGGCTCTTATATTTTCGTGGGGCTTTGTGTCTAGCCCCAGTGGCATCGTTTTCTGTGTGCCACAAATTCGACAGTTTAGTCTCAGCTCCGGCTCTTATTTCCACGTTGCTTGGCCTGAGTGGCGAAGTGAACGACCAGTCATGGCAGAGCAGAGATACTGTGTGGAATATGCCAAACGTGGCACGGCTGGCTGCAAGAAATGCAAAGACAAGATCATGAAGGGGCTGGTCCGGATTGGCAGGATAGTGCCAAACCCTTTTAGTGAGTCTGCAGGGGAAATGAAGGAGTGGTACCACGTGAAGTGCATCTTTGAGAAGCTTGAGAGAGCACGCGCCACCACAAAGAAGATCGACGACATTACAGAGCTGGAGGGATGGGAGGAACTTCAGGATGAGGATAAAGAACTAATCAATAAACATGTTTCAGGTATTCAGCCACTGTTACCCCTAGCTTTACTCTCCTTGTTTAGTTCAGATCAGATGTCATCGCAGACCTGACATATACCTCTTCTCTTCTCTTCTCTTCTCTTCTCTTCTCTTCTCTTCTCTTCTCTTCTCTTCTCTTCTCTTCTCTTCTCTTCTCTTCTCTTCTCTTCTCTTCTTTAACAGAACTGGCAGCCAAAGCCAATGCATCTCCAAAGAAGAAAGTGCAAGCAAAGTTAAACAACAGTGGGCAGCTGTCGGCACCGCTAGCTGATCCAACAGTCAATGCTCCTCGCAAGTTTTCTGGCTTCACAGGTACAGTGCCAAGAGAGTTGCACAAAATGTGTTGTTTTTTTGTTTTTTTCATTGCAGTTTTCTTTTGTTGATATTTTTGTTTGTTGCTTTTGCTTTTTGTAATATACACTATGGTTCAAAAGTTTGGGGATTTATTTGATCAATACAGTAAGAACAGTAATACTGTGAAATAGTATTAATATTTAAACAACTGTTTTATATTTTAATATTTTTTTTATGTTTTATTTATTCCTGTGAAGGCAGACCTGAATTTCCAGCAGCCAATTTTAAGATCCTTCTGAAATCATTGTAATATGCTCAGTACGACATTACAGAGCTGGAGGGATGGGAGGAACTTCAGGATGAGGATAAAGAACTAATCAATAAGCATGTTTCAGGTATTCAGGCACTGTTACCCCTAGCTTTACTCTCCTTGTTTAGTTCAGATCAGATGTCATCGCAGACCTGACATATACCTCTTCTCTTCTCATCTCTTCTCTTCTCTTCTCTTCTCTTCTCTTCTCTTCTCTTCTCTTCTCTTCTCTTCTCTTCTCTTCTCTTCTCTTCTCTTCTCTTCTTTAACAGAACTGGCAGCCAAAGCCAATGCATCTCCAAAGAAGAAAGTGCAAGCAAAGTTAAACAACAGTGGGCAGCTGTCGGCACCGCTAGCTGATCCAACAGTCAATGCTCCTCGCAAGTTTTCTGGCTTCACAGGTACAGTGCCAAGAGAGTTGCACAAAATGTGTTGTTTTTTAGTTTTTTTCATTGCAGTTTTCTTTTGTTGATATTTTTGTTTGTTGCTTTTGCTTTTTGTAATATACACTATGGTTCAAAAGTTTGGGGATTTATTTGATCAATACAGTAAGAACAGTAATACTGTGAAATAGTATTAATATTTAAACAACTGTTTTATGTTTTAATATTTTTTTTATGTTTTATTTATTCCTGTGAAGGCAGACCTGAATTTCCAGCAGCCAATTTTAAGATCCTTCTGAAATCATTGTAATATGCTCAGTGTGTTTTTTTTTTAATGGTTAAATTACATTTTATTAATCAAAAAGCATGTCTAATTAATTAAAATCATGAAACTTAAACAATTTATCATCAATTTATTAAAAGTTTAACAAATGTTACGTTTAGGGCCCTATGAAATGTTTTATTTGCCCAACCTTATGTTTTATTGTAACCAAATTCTGTTTTAGCATGTCTAATTTGAAAGCATAAAACAAGTTTAATTTATTCTTACAATAGCCTTATGATTTTTTTGCTCAGAAATTCTGTGTTGTGTATTTACTTTTGTTTTACGGCATAAAACATTCATTTAATCTGTCTTTTAAGTAATGAATATTAAACCAATTTTATTTTTTGGAAAATAAAGGTAATTTAATATTACAATTAAAACATTGAAGAAATATTGTATGCTTATTCCTTAAAAATAAGGTTTTAATAATTTTAGTAGTAGTAGTAGCAGCCTGTTACGTACATTCTACTCAACAATAGTAATATGTGAGTAACAGCCAATGCCCTCAAGTTAAACCGAACTTTTATTTTGATGGGTTGCCGTGAATACCTTTACATTTCTGTGTGTATGACATGATGATAGTTTTACTCAAATAAAACTGTCAAATGCTGATGAAGTGACTCTCGGAGCAGTTCTGGAGATGTTGTTCATGTATTTATGTTCTCATTAGTGAGACGGCAGACGTTAATATCACCGGGAGCGTTTCAGTACGAGTAGTAAACAAAACCGCGCATCTGCGCCATTCATAAACACAGACACAGAATTCATATTTAAATATGAATCGTTTTGCGGCTTAATATTTACAAATACTAGTGGGAGTGGGCTCACTTTTGTGTGTGTGTGTTCGCCCCCCTAATATAATGGCAGGGGAAACACTGATGCTGATTTGTTGCTCAAGAAACATTTCTTCTTATTATCGATGCTTAAAACAGTTGGCTGTTTAATATGTAAAATAGTTTTTTTTTTTTCGTAGCAGAGTTTACTGAATAAAACGATCTATTTCTTTGAATAATAATAATAATCTATAATAGTTTTAATAATCGAATAAATTGTGGTGTATTTTTAAATATATTTTTAATCTTTATATGTAGTTTTTTTAAATATAATTTTAGGAATAAAAGTTTATACAAGTTGTCTTTGTAGTCACTTAGTACTGTATATATTGACAGTTAGTGTGTCTTGGTTTGAATTTGCATGGATAAGGATCAGATTGTCATTCTTATTGTTTCCTTTTACAAAATGACTTGCCAACTTGCATATAATTCTATTGACCCACCAAAGCCAATTTTAAACAAAAGTTAATTTTGGCTGGCAATGATATAAATGTATAATCTTATCATTTAATATGGTCATGCCAACTTAATATAAGGTTTAACACTCTTGTGTCCACAGCTACCAAGGCAGGTTCCTCTTCCTCCAGTCCTGGACCATCTCCAGCCAAACCCACTCAGGGTAGCGCTTTATCAGCTCAGCTATGTGACCCCAACCATAAAGACTGTTTACTGCGGGAGTTCCGCAAACTTTGTGCCTTAGTCGCAGAGAAGTCCAGCTATAACGCCAAGACCGAGATCATCAGAGACTTCTTAACAAAAGGCTCTGGTGGAGGTGAGCATGGAAAATTTGGGCCAACATTAACACCAATAGCTTAAAAAGTGATTTCAAAAGGCATCTTTTTAATCTCCTTCCCACATCTTCACAGACAAATTCTGCGGAGATTTGTACATGACAGTGAAGCTTCTCCTCCCAGGAGTGGTTAAGAATGTCTACAACCTCAATGACAAACAGATTGTCAAGCTTGTCAGCCGCATATTGAATTGCAGTCAGGATGAGATGGTGCAAGACTTGGAACAGGTTTGTTTCTTTTTCAAAGTATGCCAGTTCTTTTGAGAAATATTTGACCTTTTTCTTCATTGATCTTTATCGGCTTCATAAAGGGAGATGTTTCAGAGACGGTGCGGATATTTTTCGAGCAGAGCAAGTCTTTCCCTCTAGCAGCCAAGAGTCTTCTGACTATCCAAGAGGTGGATGCTTCACTGAGCCGTCTATCCCAACTCACAAAGGAGGATGATCAGCAGGCAGAGCTGCAGGACATTGCTAAAAAGTAAGATATAAATCATATTTACACTTTGATTTTATAAAATTCACTTTGAAAAAAATAAAAAGTGTTTTCCATTTGTTTGAAATTTAAGAAGAGCTTAACTTGTGTTTCTTGATTCCCAGATGCACCGGAAATGATCTGAAGTGTTACATTCGTTTGGTCAAGCATGATCTGAAAATCAACTCTGGGGCTAAACATGTGTAAGTGACTCTAGCAAATAGTACCTAAAGGCATTGTGTTTATTCTGGCTTATTCAGTGTGACTTTTCTCTTATCAGTTTGGATGCTGTGGACCCCAACGCCTATGATGCCTTCAAAGCTTCCCGTAACCTTGGTGACGTAATTGACCGGGTGCTACGGAACCAGCAGGACGCTTCTAATGGAACAGGGCCCAGAAAGATCCTCAGCGTGGAGGCGTCTCTGATGACCCCCGTACAGCCAATGCTGGTCTGAATCACTGTTGCTCTTAAATGGATAGTTCACCCAAAAATGAAAGTTCTGTCATTTACTCATCCTCATGTTGTTCCAAACCTGTGTGAATTACTTTGTTGAACATAAAAGAGGATATTTTGGTGACCATTGTAAGGACAGAAAAATACCTGAGATATTTCTCAAAATATCTCCACAGAAGAAAGTCACACAGATTTGGAATGGCATGATGACAATTTCAATTTTTGGGTCAACTATCCCTTTAATTCCACATCTTTAGTTACAAATTACATTTAGTATTAAGAATGTGCAAAACTACATAAATTGGACTAGTCTGTAGATTCTAGGATGTTCATAACGTTATTGTAAAATATTTTTTCTAAGAAACATTAAAAGATTAATAAAATACTTTTAATGTTTTCTTAAAAATTTTATCAATTGCTTGATTGAATTTGTTTTTGATTTTGTAGGCAGAAGCATGTAAGTCTATTGAGTATGCCATGAAGAAGTGTCCTAATGGGATGTATTCTGAGATCAAGTATGATGGTGAGCGTGTGCAGGTCCATAAGAATGGCAATCACTTCGGTTACTTCAGTCGAAGTCTCAAACCAGTACTCCCACACAAGGTCAGGACCTCCTGTCGGTTAGCTTTTCAAATAGAATGCCATGGGATATGTTTATATACATGTTTAAAACCATTCAAATCTATGTTAAAGAGTTTGATTTTCTCCCACAGGTCGCCCATTTTAAAGATTTCATACCGCAGGCATTTCCTGGTGGCCATAGCATGATCCTTGATGCTGAAGTTCTTCTTATTGATACAAAGACTAGCAAACCGCTGCCTTTTGGGACTCTTGGAGTACACAAGGTAAACCAGAAAGCAATATGTTTTTGAGGTTCTGTAACAGATTAGTTAAATAGATTTAAACTGGCATTATTTACTCATTCTCATGTAATTTCAAACTTGACTTTCATTCATCTGTGAATGGATGCTGTTTAAAAAAAAAAGTCACAAATGAATCCATGTAGACTCGGGCACTACACTACTGTTCAAAATGTTTGGGATATGTAAGATTTTTTCAAATAGTTTTTGATCGAAGTCTTGTATGCTCACCCAGGCTGGATGTATTTGATTAAAATTGAATATATGGTCAAATATTATTGTAATTAATTAAAGTAACTGGTGTCTATTTTAATGTGTTTTAAAATATCATTTATTCCTGTGATGGCAAAGCTGAATTTTCAGCGTCATTACTTCAGTCTTCAGTGTCTCATGATCCTTCAGAAATCATTATAATATACTGATTTGTGCTCAAGAAACATTTATCAATGTAAAAAAAACAGCTGCTTAACTCCTTATTTATTAAAATATTTATATTAAAATAAAAAAATATTTATTTATTATCAGCATTTAATTTTATTATACATTTGTTTAGGATTTTTTTTTTTTATGAATAGAAAGAACAGTATTTGTTTGAAATAGAAATCTTTTGTAAAATTATAAGCGTCTTTACTTTTACGTTGATCAATTTAATGTATGCTTGCTGAAAAAAGATTTTTTTTCCCCCTGTGTTTTTAGAAAGCAGCTTTCCAGGACGCTCAAGTGGGTCTGTTCGTGTTCGACTGCATTTATTTTAATGGTGTCAGTCTCATGGACAAGTGAGTCAACCTAAAGGAATGCATTTTTCATTAATTTGAACGTTATTGCAGGTTTTAGAGAGCAGTACAACATTTATATTAAAGGTTGATTGATATTTTTAATATAAGACTTGAAAGATGTTGATGTGGGGATGTTTTCCAGGCCTCTCTGTGAGAGAAGAAAGTTTCTCCTTGACAATATGGTGGAAGTTCCTAACAGGATTCTTTTCTCAGAAATGAAGCACGTCACGGTCAGTTCTGCAGTGTTTTTCTTTCTCTACCCATGATGCATATATTCTCAATGTTCAAGGATGCTTACAAATGTGTAGGCAGGTCAAGTTAATTAAAGGTTGATGTTATGATAAGACTTCAGGGTGGATGGTTTTTATAAAGCTAATGACATTGTGTCCCAACAGAGAGCTGCTGACCTGGCAGAAATGATCACACGTGTCATCAGAGAAGGACTGGAGGGGTTGGTTCTGAAGGATATCAAGGTATGTTGGCTATGTTCTGAATGTAATACTAGCAATGCTGCCTACTGAAGTACTTGAAATGGTATGCTGTAAGCTCCATGTGTACAGGCCTTCAAACATACAAGACAAATGCTGAGTTTGAAAATTCAATGCGATAAACAATTATTTAAATGAAGGCTTGTAATGCATCTGTTCAGACCAACACAAACATTTGCGTGCCATCAATGTGACATATTTTCCAGAGTGGTGTTCTAATTTTTTTCCCATCACACAGTGAATAAAACTAGCCGACCAATAAGATTTGCTTTATGCCCAGAACCGCTGCTGTTATATAAAACTGTAACTTGGTGGCGTTCACAAACAGAGTATTTTGCTGAGCGACATTGATTAGCAGAGAAAGAATCTGGAACACTCTTGTCTCTTTTTACGCATTGGTCTGAACGGACAAATCACATGTGAAAACTAGACCGAATTTTTGTGCTGAAAATTTGCGTTGCTGTGAGCAGTCCTTGATTCATCAAATGGCATCCAATTACTGTTTAGGAAATAAAGATGTTGCATTTGTAATCTGGTTTGTGTGGCAAAAGTCTCAATTCCAAGCAGTATGGTCAAATAGATACTTAAATCATGGTTGATGTTACTTCTGGATAATTCATCACATTTGAAATGATTGCATTGCATTGTGGCTTAATTACCGTTGCAGGGACATTATGAACCAGGCAAACGACACTGGTTGAAGGTTAAGAAGGACTATCTGAATGAAGGAGCAATGGCGGACACTGCTGACCTTGTGGTGCTTGGAGCTTTCTATGGCAAAGGCTCAAATGGTCAGCATCAGCAGTCCAATTCAAATGGTTTTAAACAATATCTAAACTTCAGAGTGTAACAGTTTTGAAACATTAGGTTTTTCTGTGTGCCAGGTGGAATTATGTCCAGTTTCCTCATGGGATGCTATGACCCAGAATCCAAGAAGTGGTGCACTGTGACCAAGTGTTCAGGAGGCTATGACGACGCCACGTTAGCCAGACTGCAGAAGGAGTTGGACATTATCAAAATTGGCAAGGTAAATCTTCTGATTTAATCAGTAGTGCCTCCATTGCCCCATCAAATTTATAAAAGATACATAACAATAGTTTCCCATCCATCTCGCTATCACAGGATCCAAGCAAGATCCCAGGATGGTTGAAGATCGTCAAGAACTATTACCCAGATTTCATTATCCGAGATCCAGAAGTAAGACACTTCCTAATACGACCGAAGGGATGCTTGATGTTTATGTGCTTGTAATGTGAAATGAGCTTGATGAGACTCTGTTAAAAGCCTGGTTACTGTTGAGTATGTGATGGCAATGAAGGAACTTTATTGGCTTATCTCTTTAACTCAGATGAATGTGTTTAGTAGAGCGTACAACACTCAAAGGTTTAAGATGTTTGTACTGAATTGAAACTCTAGTAGTTTGTGTTGTGTATTGGACTGTAAGGAGTAATAAATCCCATTTGTCAATGCTTGCAGAAAGCACCAGTTTGGGAAATAACAGGAGCAGAGTTTTCCAAATCAGAAATGCACACTGCAGATGGCATATCCATCCGCTTTCCACGATGCACTCGAATGCGAGACGACAAGGATTGGAAGACTGCCACTAACCTTCAGCAGCTCAAGGTACACTTGATTGTAAAATTATATTTTGCATATTTGTATGCATGTTGCATATGCAACCAGGAACTGTAGGATGTGCCATCAGGAGTTTCAAAGATAATGTTACAGTACATGTCATTTCAAACCAATCTTTTCTTAGCATGATGAAAATGATAAATCAACATGAAATGAAAATTCACCTAATCACCATTTGTTTTCTACATACATGTTATATACAAGGATGAGTCATTCACAATACAATCTAGGTTTCATTTTTTTGTTTTTGACCACAGAATGTTTAATCAGAATGTCATAACTCGATCTTCCGGTAAAACAACATATTTTTCTTTTATGTATGCCAGACTTCTCCATTCATTTAAACCTCGCCCCTCCACAATCAATCGCAGGCTCGCATTCATTTTTTAGTGCAACGCCCACATCACAAAATCCAGCCAACAGCTGATGGGTAGAACCAAGTCCCTGTCCTATATATATATATATATATTAATAATCATACTTGGATGTAAGTTGCTATATGAAAGAATAGCTGTTGCTACTTCTGTGTAATTGCAACTTTAAATTATCTTTCTTATAAAAAAAATGTATGCAAACTATTAGGGTGTGTTGTAAATCAAATATTGGAATCTTTTTTTATTATTAATTTGTTTGTTTTTGCAGGAGCTGTATCGCATTTCAAAGGAGAACTGTGATTTTGAGGTGACCGCTGGTCCGTCCAAAACTAGCCAAAATGACAAGAGCTCCTCAGGAGGCGAGAGTGGAGGAAGCTCTCCCTCTACATCTCATGGAGCTTCCACAGCTAACAAGACCAGTAAGCGTTCGCCATGAACAGATCCTGTTTGGTCTATACTTGTCAAATGTGACACTTGCATCATTAAAGTACCATTAAAAAAGTTCTTACATTCTGTAATTGTTCCAACTGTTCAGAAAACGGTCATACTCCCAAAGCAAAGGCAGTGAAAACCGAATCATCTTCGCCAGCAGTTAAGAGGAAACTACCCACAGAGAAACAAGATGCCAAGAAGGTTTGTTATTTGATGAACCCATATACGGTATACACTACTGTTCAGAAGTTTAAGATCATTAAGATTTGAGTGTTTTTTTTAATGTTTTTGAAAGAAGTCTCTTATGCTCATTGAGGCTATTTGATCAAAAATGCAGTAAAACAGCAGTATTGTGAGAGATTATATTAAAATAGAAAAGTTATTTTAAATTGCAATATTTTAAAATGTAATTTATTCCTGTAATAGCAAAGCTTAATTGTCAGCAGGCATTACTCTAGTCTTCAGTGCCACATGATCCTCCAGAAATCATTTTAATGATTATTTGATGGTCAAGAAATGTTTTTCATTATTATTCATTTGACTGACCTGAGCTTAACTTGCTGACCCCAAACTTTTAAATGCCAGCGTGTTTTCTTTGAACACAGGCTTAGTCTTTCATGCCATGGTTCATTTATCCATTATTAGATAATTTCTCTCCTCAAACCCTGTGGTCTTGTTGTTTCAGATAAAAACAGAACCTGTTCACAGCAATAGACAAAGCAAATTGCAGACCGTTCAAACAACTGACCCTAAGAATGAAAAGGTTTGTTTTTACCTCTTTTGGTTGCTTTGTACTTAAAGGGATCGTTCACCCAAATATAATAATAATAAAAGACTGTCATTAACATTATTTACTCTTGTCATTCCAAACCTGTGTGACTTGCTTTCAAAAGAAGATATTCTACATAAAGTTTAAACTGTTTTTGTCTATAAAATGAGTCAGTAGGTTCCAAACAGAAGTTATGAACACTGGACCTCACTGACTAAAAAAAAAAAAAAAAAAGAGTGATTTTTCAAAGTATCTGCATAAAAATACAAAGTGAGGGGATGAGTAAATTATGACGGAATATTCATTCTTGAGTGAACTCTTCCTTTTAAAGCTAAAGGGTATAATTTTGCTGATATGATCCTTCACCACTAAAACCCTTGCCATCTTCCTGCAGACACTACTGGACATTTTCACAGGTGTGAAGCTCTACCTCCCAGAGTCAGTGCAGGACTTTGAGAAGCTTCGGCGCTACTTCCTAGCGTACAATGGAGATCTGGTGCATGAGTATGACTCCGTTTCAGCCACACATACACTGGGAGAGCCAGAGGACGACAGTCCGGCTCAGAGCGTCACCTCCAACTGGATCTGGGAATGCATCCGAAAGAGGAGGGTGGTTCCTCCCAGCTGAATGAGGTAGAGAGCCTGCAGGAAGGACACTACCACTAAGCGCAGGCATTTTGTCCTATAATGACATTGTTCATTACAGAACATTAAACCTATTTCATCAGACCTGCAGCTACAGCAATAATGCTGTCGTTCATGAGAGTTGAATAAACTTTTTTTTTAAAGGTGTCACAAACTCATGTTTTTGTTTGCTTTACCACATTGTGGTATTACACACATTGTACTAGAAAACATTCAGTTGAATAGCTTTTCAAGTTGGTTTTGACATATTATTTTTCTCTATGAATTTGCATATTTATAATTTTTTTACTGTTTTTGGTGTCATTGACTAGTGCTGCCACTCATTTCATAAGCATATTCTTGAAAGAGCTCAATACATGTAATGATTTTGATGACTTCATCGTGATAGTGTCATTTATCTGTTTTGAAAAGGATGTTTGTATGGAGTATACTCTTGGGCACAGGACGAGTGATTAACAATACAATAGTAACAGCCATAAGGCATGATTGTGGAATGAATAATTGTGTAGAGTAAATTCGGTAAGAGCCCTCTAGCTTAGTAATGGTAGTTGTGTGTAATTTCAACTGTTACAATCATTCTAATTAAAACAAGCCTTTTATGCACAAAGAAATTGATTCGTGCCTGAATAGAGTCAGTCTAGCGTGCAATGGGGGAGTGATTGTGTGAGTGTCTGTATAACATGAGGACAATTTTAAGCATTGGATTTTTTCTCCTCGTCTAATCCGCAAGGTGCACTCAGTAATTTTTGGAGTTATACTGACACACAGAGGCGAGATGCACAATAATGCAAAAAGTATTTTGTTTTTCCATTGAAAATGGTTAGTGGGGTTCATTTTTACTGTTGGTACTGAGGAAAACAAATCTATTTTTAAGAGATACTCATTTCCCAGTTTCATTTTGAAAATAAAAAGATGGCAACATTATGCAAATGTTTTTAACAAAAAAAAAAGAATGCAAGTTCTTTTTGACTTCATTAAACAGGACATTTACAAAAGTTAATTAAAAAAAGAATTTCTTATCACTTGACAAAGACCACAACGGAAACATTTTGTAGAAATAATTTACATATTTACACTGACTCTAAATATACCTCCTATATAGTCTGTCTGAAATCAAAAGAAGGACAGCAATTCGTATTGTCACTGAATTTTGTTGTCAGGGTTTACTTCTTTCCTCTAGTTTCCTCTTGCCTGAAATAGAGGTTCTCCTCTCTTCAGACCAGTGACAAAGATCAAACCCCTCTACCAGATGACAAGCCTGAAGATGATAGAAAAATAAAAACCATCAGTAAGTAGAAGTAATGTTCCATGCGTATCCATTAAGTAAAGACTCTATTGAGTTATTCTTGAAAATCAAGACAATTTTGCCTAAAACCACCTGTCGTGATGATTTGGTCAGAGTTGCGGTTCGTAAGGATGAAGTCTCTGCACCCTCTATTCTCTGCAGGAGCACACGAGTGCGCGGCGCATGACTCCATGACTGTCCTAGTCCAGCCTTCAAATGCCCATTTCCATCTTTGGTCACATGGTTTGTTACCTTCAATGCAAGATTTCACCATATCCGTTTTTATTACAAAGGACAGTCACTGTGAGAAACATGCAACAAGCAAGACCAGTGAATTTACATCACTTTTCCAGTCATTTGTAATTACTGTCTCAGGATTTTCCAAGTTGTGATGGAACAGGTGTAGCATCTTCCATATTGTGACAACCAAATCAAATGGATTATCGAAAAAAGAAAAGTAGGGCGGCGACTTCTATCAAACGGTTGTTGATGGAGGAAAATCAGCTGAATGCAAACTTGCAGCCAATTGTAAGAAAGGAGCAGGATTTCAGCGGACTAAATAATTTGGAGAAGTGTAATTTTACAAAATGACAAAAGAAACATCTAGATGGATGAATTGTACTATAAGATCTCACTATGAGATCTATAATGTGCATGTACAAAATTTTATGCCAACTTCAAAAATCATTTTATTCTCATTCACAAAGAGCAACCTTATAGTGATTAAATATTTTTTGGGAAGAAAAAAAAAACTAGCAATACATATTCAGTAGACTCTTCCAGGCCTGGAAACACCCATTTAAAATTCAGTAATATTTCCAGGTTTTCCCTAACAGGAAACAGAAAGGTGCATACCAGTACAGCAATGTTGAAGTCTTTGGCGATCATCTTCAGCTCCCCAGCAACTTGCATCAGCAAGGACATACCTGATGCAAAGCAGCAGCACTGTGACATCTAATGCGTACGATGCTAATTAGAACAGAACATTATGATAGAGTATTATGCAATACTGTAAACAAATACCCTCATTCTGTTTCCCTCCGAGCATGGATGAGAGCACAGCAGAGACTGAATCCACCATCAGCGCTTTGACTGAACCACCTCCAACAGACGCCTAGGGCACATTCAAGAGTTCTGTAACAAATAACCACTTACATCAACAGACCTTTACATAGAATAATACATACCTTCTGAAGGCCATTCGATCTCAGATTTTGAAGACATGCGAGCAAAGAGAAGACATCAAATACTCTCAACACCTTGATTTTTTGAAGTGCCTCCATCTGTATATTGAAAAGGAAAGGACATAACTTCTGTAGCACAGTATGGTACAATACAATACAATATGTGACCCTGGAGCACAAAACCGGTCTTAAGTCGCTGGGGTATATTTGTAGCAATAGCCAAAAATACATTGTATGGGTCAAAATTATAGATTTTTCTTTTATGACAAAAATCATTAGGATATTAAGTAAAGATCATGTTCCATGAATATATTTTGTACATTTCCTACTCTGAATATATCAAAACTTAATTTTTTATTAGTAATATGCATTGCTAAGAACTTAATTTGGACAACTTTAAAAGGCGATTTTCTCAATATTTAGATTTTTTTCACCCTCAGACTCCGGATTTTCAAATACTTGTATCTTAGCCAAATATTGCCCTATCATAACAAACCATACATCAATGGAAAGCTTATTTATTCAGCGTTCAGGTGATGTATAAATCTCAATTTCGAACAATTGACCCTGGTTTTGTGGTCCAGGGTCACATATAGTTTAAAGGAATCAACATTGGCACAAATGCCGTTCATGTGCAATAGTTGAACAAACATGATGATACTTGCCTTAGCAAGCACTACTAAGAAATTACACTTTAATCACCTGCTCCTCCATATTAGGGGTCTTGGATTGTAGCATCTGAAGCAGTCGGTTTGCACACATACCCCCCTTTGTGTCAATGTAAAACACAGTCTGCTTCAGCTGGTGGGATATATTAACTGCAACACTAAAACACACCTACAAAGTGTGTGAGACACAGAGCATTATTGAACATTCACCCATTTGCCCACCCAACCCTAATAGGTTATAAAAGCAGGCTGGATTTTGAAATTGTAGAGCAGGACCAAGAGACTAAGAAGAGTTTCCAGGACAACAGATCACCTGTGATTTCCCGCTCCCTGGACTTCCTGCCAGCTCAGTTATTTCCCCTGTGTACAGCCCGGAATCCAACAGCTTATCCAAACTGAAGACAA